TGTCCCCTTCTAAGACACTTCTCGTCTTATTGCTCTTAATTGGCTAGTTACTACATACTTTATTATCACAACTGTCCTATATGATGTGTTGTGTATATGTGTGTGTTTACATATATCTACATGTAATTTACATATATAAATGCACATATATGACACATCATGTAAGGCAATTATGATAATAATTTATATATATCTCGGTGTGTTTAATGTATATATATTTGGTTTTTCCTATCATTCCACTAGACCACGATACCAATAGTACTTAATGGGGGGGTCACCCCCAGGGAACATTTGGCAATGTCTGGAGACACTTTGAGTTGTCACAGTTTGGGGGCTCCTATTGCATTTAGTGGGTAGAGGCTAGGAGTACCTCTAAATATCCCACAAGGCATGGGACAGCCCCATACAGCAAAGTAGTAATATTTAGCCCAAAATATCACCAGTGCTGAAGCTGAGAAATCTACACTAGATTCTACAGGACTAGACATCCTTCCATGAGTCTCCTGACACATGCTGCCTGGTACGGGGTGGTTCTCCATACATGTGTGTGGCCAATGCTTGCCGTGACACACTGTGTGTGTTTTAGAAAACCCCTTTAGCTTTGCTTACATAATAGTAATAAAACTTGTCTGAGATGCACTTTGAGATTAAAAAGTATGTAAAATCATAGAAATTTTCAGATTTTTTTTCCTGCCTAAACTAATCTGTGCATACACATAGTCAATTCTTAGCTATAATAATCTTTAACTCAGTTAAAACTTGTTGTGGGACTGCGGTTTTCCTAAACTCTTTAGTCTAAGGGTATAGCCAGACTCCCCTAGGGGATTTCAGTGATGTAGGAATGAATTTAAACATAACTTTTCTCTGTCGTCCTCGGTCTCCCAGGGGAAGGTGCCTGAGGATCATTATTCATTCATTTGGTGACATTTTTTTCGGTGCTTTTATGTGCCAGGGGATGATTGGCTGTGACTACAACTGTGGATAGAATAGGCTCGGTCTTCACTGGTGTCTTTGCACTCAGGGTATGGGGGGAGAAAATTTTTGTAAATGAACTTTTGGGGTATTATAAATTCTATGGAAAAAATGTTAAATAGGATTAGGAAATTGGGGGATTAGGGGGTGTGGGAGAGAGCCTGGTCAAGAATTTTCTTTGAGCAAAGACCTAAAAAAAAAGAAATGAGGATGCAAGTACTGGAGATGCCTGGGGGTATTCCAGACAGAGGCAACAAAACACACAAAGGCCCTGAGAAGTGTTTGGAATGTCTGCGGAGGGGAGAGGGAGGAGACCAGGTCAGCTGCGATGGCTCTGAGTAAGACGGGAAGCCATTAGGAGGACCTCATTTAATTTTTGAAGGAGACACCTGACCATTCTATGGAGAGAGGATTATCACAATGGTGGAAGCCAGAAGAGCATTTTTGGGAAGATAGCAATAGTCCAGGTGAGGGGTGATGGTGCCCGTAACTAAGAATGAGATGGGTGGTGAGAGTTGATTAGGTTTAGAATGTATTTTAAAAGCATTGCCAAGAGGAAGGTAACCCATGAACTCAGTTTTGAATGTGTGAAAGTTGCAAAAGAGTTCCAAGATCTAAGCCCTGAGAGATTTGAGGAGATAAGGACAAAAAGCAAAAAAGCAAAAAAAATAACTCAATGATGGGAGAAGGAAAGAACAAAGATAGGGTGGTGGCCCAGAAGCCCCTGTTTCAGAAAGGGTTGCCAGGCGGCCCTGGGGACCCCTTGAGGTTTACGGTTGTGAACTGCAAGTGAGGCTTATTTCAAAAGGGAGAGAAATTCCAGCCACATGTAGCTACTGAGATGTGGGCATGAAAAGCATGAAGAGATAGAGAGTTGACTTTAACTAGAATAAGATTCTCTCAGGGTGCTATGAGTTAGGAGGGAACAGAAGAGAGTATAAAACAAAAAGTGGTTATAATGATGGACCATGAACTCTGTACTGTGTATGAAGAGAAGGGAGGACAGAGTGGGTCAGTGAATTGGAGAATCAGTTCATTATCAAGAGTTAATAAACCAGTATCATCCCTTCAGGATCTTATATGATCGTGTAGCTTAACCTGTATCCTTAATGAGCACTAATGAGGTCCGTGCCTGCCTAGAAAAAGGAGGTATTAAGGCGTGAATGTCCTGCTGATGCTCTTGAGAACATCAACAGTGCTGAAAAGAGGCAAATGCCAGGTTCTTATAAGACCTTCCTCCAAAGTCATCATCAGGTCTCTAACTGTGATGCTGAAGCATGGTTACACTGGCCAAGTTGAAATCACTGATGATCACAGAGCTGGGCAGATACTTGTGAACCTCACAGGCGGGTTAAAAACGTGTGGCGTGATCAGCTCCAGAGTTGATGTGCAACTCAGAGGTCTAAAAGAATGGCAGAATGATCTGCTCCCATCCCATCAGTTTGGTTTCATTGTACTGACAACGTCAGCTGGCATCACAGACCATGAAGAAGCAAGAAGAAAACACACAGGAGGAAAAATCTTGGGATTCTTTTTAGGGATGTAACACATACTTAAAAATGAAATCCCTTAATAGACAAAAAAAAAAGGAATGACAAATTAATAGAAAACTGAAAAATAATACAGCAGTTTAATCATTGTATTTGAAATGGCATATAATACTCTGATGTTTTTCAAATCACTTCCAAAGATCTTTTTCTCATTTAATATTCTCAAACATATCATGGCTAGAGAAGACAGCTTTACGAAAGTCTCAGAAGAGTTCTAAAAGTCTTAAAAGAATGAAGTTATTTTTTTTCTTTTCTAGATTACAAAACATTTTAATGCCTGTAAAACATTTTAAATATTCATTTGTCTTTTAAATTAAATTTATAACATTGTATGTTTAGCTGAATATGGTTTCTTATGTAGTTATTTAACTTTTCCTATCAAAATTAAAATATTAGTTTTCAAACCAGACCCACATATAAGGAGTTATTGTTATCACAGAAATGTGTATTATTTACTAAAGTCAAATAATAGTAGCAAAAATGACTTTATTTTTTTAGAGACAGAGTCTCACTTTGTCACCCTTGGTAGAGTGCTGTGGCATCACAGCTCACAGCAACCTCCAACTCTTGGGCTTAAGCGATTCTCTTGCCTCAGTCTCCCGAGTAGCTGGGACTATAGGCACCTTCCACAATGCCCGGCTATTTTTTGTTGCAGTTGTCATTGCTGGTTAGATGGCCCAGGCCAGGTTTGAACCCACCAGCCTTAGTGTATGTGGCTGGTGCTGTGACTACTATGCTACAGGTGCCGAGCTGCAACAATGACATTTGACATGTCCATGGAGATTCATGAAATGGGTCTGGAAAAGTATTGAACTTGGATAGCATATAGATACATTTTTTTAATTTTCTCTATACATATACATGTGTTTATTTGGTTTCCACTTTTCACCTTCACAGAATTAAAAAGGTTTAAAATTTAATAACAATAACAATGTTTAAGAAAGGGACTAGAAACAAAAACCTCCTAAAGAAGGAACAAAGATAAATACATTCAGAAAAGAAATCAGACGATTGCTGCAATGAAATATTGAGCAATAATAATAATAATGCAAAAAAGTAACATTCACAGTGTCAGATAAAAGTATGTCTATCGTAGAATGTTTTCACTCTGAGGTTCAGGATGGAGTCATTAGTCAACTTCTTCCTTTTCTTTTTTTCCCAAAATCTCAAAAAATAGACAACTAATATATACAAATAAAAAATAAAAGATAATTTTTTAAAAGATCATGACAAATCCTATAGACAATAGAAAAAGAAGAAATACTTCAAAATTATTCCATTTCATCTTGCTATACCTGATACTAAAATTGGAAAAACTATATTATTAAAAAGGGAAATCACAAACATATTTCACTTATAAATGAGGGTTTATATCCTGATAAACATATCCTAAACAACAATAGGCAATATCCTAAACAACATATTAACAAGTTGAATTAAGAGATACATTCTTTTTCTTGAATGAAGCTTTGTCAAATGAGGCCATGCATATAGTTCTGGCCATTAAGAATTCTTTAAATGCCTACAAGGGGATCATATTAAGAGAGAAGTTCATCTTTATTCTCTACATTTCCCCAACTCCAAGACTTTGTGTGCTGTTTACTTTATTCCTTTCACCCAAAATGTTCTTTGCCCCTATTTTTTTAAAAAATGAACTCTACTTGCCCTCAAGGAAGATTCAGGGAACAAGTCCTACAGGACACTTTTACTAATTCCCTTCAAGTTAAATGAATTTCTTCTTCCACATTGATTGCTTTGTGTCACTGTTTTTTTTCTAGTTATCTGAGCACCTATTCTCGTACCTACTAAAAAGCTTCTGGACAACAAACTCTTTTGTACTTCTAAAGAGGTGCTAAAATGAATGCTTACAGATAAAAAATCTTTTGGAGGATAGCTGGCTTAATTAAATTAGGTGCACCAAGGGCCAACCTAGGCTGGGAAACCCGAAGGTCAACCATGAAGCAATCTCGTCTAAAGGGACAACCTGAGGACAAGGCTGTTACTGCCTTCTCCGGAATTCTAGGCAGCTCTGGAGAAGTTCTCAGGAAGCAGTTAGTTTCAGAGCCTTGGGTTTCCTTCCTGCATCTGCTGGTCCCAGGAGTATCTAGGCCAAACTAGATACGCTCCATTTCAAACTCTCAACGAAGGAAGATTCTAGAAGCCTTTCTGATTTGCTCAGGAGTCAGAAATGGCAATATAAATAAGGTGTAACTCAGGGAGGTATCATGGATTGGGGTGAAATGCTTGTTGTTTTCCAAGAGAATTTAAGTTAGCAAACTGTAACTCTGTTATTACTGGTGCTGTTATTAACTTGGCATACCTTAACTGCTAAACGTATGTGGGTATTTTCTTGCTCCATCTCCTACACTGGATAGAGTCTTACGGCATCTGTCGCCCAAGACCTTCCTTCCTCCTCTGGCTTCTCCCAACCCCCACCCCCACCGCTACCCCACATACATGCAGGGTAATACAACTGACCTCAAAGGAAGTGGCGTGGCTTCAGGATCCTCCTCAGTCTTGCCTTTCTTTTAAGGAACTAGGATCCCCAAGTTGCTGGCACTCTTCTTGGCTGTCTTCTGCTCTCCAGCCCTTCCAGGGTCCTCCTCGTCTCCTAACCTAAGTGGTTTTCATTCCATCAGGACCTTGAGGTCAGCTCTCCATTGCAGCAACTCATTCTCTAATAAATTAATACTTTTCTGATAAATGGTAGGATATTAATTTTTTTTTTCTGCAGTTCTTGGCCAGGCCCACCACCCTCCAGCATATAGGGCCAACACCCTATCCTTTTGAGCTACAGGTGCCCGCCCTGGGATATTAATTTTTTTAAGGTTTTTTTTTTTTTAACCTTAGTCACATCTCCTATTCTTCCTTACTTGATAACACTCACATAGTTTGGTCATCAAAACAGCATCTTCCCCAGATTTTACCTGGTTCAAATTCTAACATTGCATCTAGCCTAGTTCTTGGCACATAGTAGATCAGTTCAATAAAATATTTATTGAATGAGTGAATGAATGAATGGGTTCAAGTAGCAATGGTGCTTGGCTTCCTGGTGGGATAAAATAAAATCTAGATATTATGAGAAAAGCATTCTTAGATAGTTACAGGTTGCAGTATCATGATTCACCTTCCTTATAATTTTCCATAAAGCCAATCCTCATATTTCAAAAAAAAAACAAAATTAATTTTATACCTAGTTACCCCTCATGCCTTTTTCCCCTATTTGATTTGATAATTATTTCTACAAACAGGTGCTTGGTATTTAACAATTCTTTTAAAAAGATTGCATGAGATTGACAATGTCTTACTTTGGCGGAGGTACAAGAAAGAGGAAGTCTGATTGCCCACCGTCCACCGTTTTCCAACTACCCTCATCCTCCTCATCTCCCTGTCTAGTTCTTAACCACCATCACTCATAAACCTCAGAGGCACATCCAATATTTTAGAGAAACTAAGGGGGGCTGAAGAAGCTGAGGTTACAGTTAGGGTAGCTGCCTTATTTTGTGACAGACTCTATTTGGAACATAAATGAAAACAAAATTTTAAGCACCCTTTTTTTATATACAAATAATCTTCTTTTTTAAAAAAAGAAGTGTTCTCTCACACATAAACATGCAGATTTGGCCTAAAGGAAGGCTTAAGAAAGACATCTTCTTCTCTTGTTATTGGGGAAAAACCCAAAAGAATTGTTGAGTTGTCTAGATCTCTGTTGAATTTGCCATGATATCTATGAAACCCTGACTGAGTTAGTGTCTTGACATGAGCAGTCATGAGCCAGGGGAGCCAAGGTGATGGTAGACTTGTACCCTCGATGCTCACATTCCTCTTTCCCTCCTTTTAAAGGCTACAAATATGGAAAGAAAAGGGGGAAAGGATGCAAAGACAGTAAAGGACCCCACGTGCAAAAAGTAGACTTTTGCATCAATGGAAAATGAGAGTTCCCAAATTTTAAAAGGTGCACACCTGCAAATGCTTCTGTTCATCTTGCTTGCCAAGAATTCAGTCGTGTTCACAATCTTCAGTCATGTTCTGAATGTCCGACCTTTCTTTCCTGCTTGAAACAGATGCTTCTTCCATGCCAGTCATGACCACCTGTTGTCACCATGTGTCATGTTGAATCACATACATATATATAATGCCATTCCACCATCTTTTCTCCATCTCTCATTTCATCCAAGCATGCAGTGTGCTATTACTCTGCTATTGTCTACACTCGGTATACATTTCTGTTCTTCCTTGCAAGACTGCGAATGCTTCGGCCACTCCAATCGATGCAGTTATATTGATCTGCTAAATACAGTCATTTGCGTGAGCTGTAAACACAACACTAGAGGGCAGCACTGTGAGCTGTGCAGGCTGGGCTACTTCAGAAACGCTTCTGCACAGCTGGACGATGAGAATGTGTGCATAGGTCAGTTCCATTATAATTTCAGCTATTGTTCTGTGCCTTTTGAGCTAGGGGGAGCTATTTAGGGTGGAAAGGTTGGTGATTTGCACCGCTGAGCCAAAATGAACTTTTGCAACGGAGCAAATAGCCTTGTGGTAGACTTAAAATTCACTTGTACTCATTGAAATCATAGTTGGGAATTACATTGTGAATCCTTACGTTGTTGTTTTAAAGATGTTGATCTGAGAAATTGTGCTTAGGAGATGAAGAATTATCTTTCTTCCTTCCTTTTTTTTTGTTTGTTTGTTTTTGTGTTTGCATGAAATTTTAAAACCTGATAATTTCAAAATGATCTTATAGCCTTAAATTATACATTCACCTTTCAAAGTGGAAACTCATTATGCGGGATTTAATTACAGATATGAAAAATTGGGGTACAAACTCTTGCACGCAATTGGTGACCAACAAGTATTGAAGGATTAAAAATGTTGCCATTTGGGATTGAAAGCAGCTAGCAACTGGTAATGTAGAAGTTTGCCTGACTTTCCCACTCATAGTAATGAAATTCCATTTACTGAATTTTTCTATATCCCCCGAAAGGAGGAGTAATTTCTTAAAACTTTTCCTGGCAATTAATTCTCTAAGCTTCCAAGGCACATAAGCCTTAAATCCACAAAGATTCCTTATACACAGTCCCTTGCCACACTGCAAATGACTACTACCCCTGTCTCCCTGGGGGGACCAGGTATCTTTCCCACCCTGAAAAGCTTCTCCTACCTTTTGTATAATAGAACATGTCCTTAAAAATGGGAGGCCAATGGAAAACAATGAAAAAATAAATGGAATTTCATTTCATAATTTACTCTGAAGAAATGCATATATTTGAAATGCTGAATGATATATGTCTGTTACCACGATCGTAGGGAACTATGTAGGCAACAAATTTTAAAGGTAGAATGTTCACATGTAGACCACACTCAATAGAATATGCAAGCTGAAAAGTGGCAGGGATCTTTATCAAACACAGAAGGAATCCAACTAATCTGTAATTCTGGGATTACTGTTCTCCCCAAGGGTCATACAAAATAGCTGCACAGTTGTTCCTAATTAAACTGGGACAAGTACATATAATACTGTATGTGTCCACAGTATTTTCTATTTTTTAAAGCATATCCTTATTTATCATTTGTAAGTTAGTGGAGAAAGTACTGGACTTAGAGTCTGGAGAGCTGGGTTCAAATCCCAGTCTGCAGTTGAATAGTTCTGTGCCCTAGGTGAGCCATTGAGAAAAAGCAGGATCATTACCACAACAGTGGGGTAAGTATTACACCGATAATATTCCCTGTCTTCTAGTTGAGAAAAGTAAGGCAAATTAGCTCACATCAAATAGTGTTAGCAAAGGGTTTCTAGACTTCAAAGCTTAACCACTTTTTCTCAACCACTCTGACACAATTAGCAAAGCTAAGCTTGTCCGACTTTTACTTACGGTATGCTTTTTGGATGACAGCAGCAATTCTACTATGCACTGATGAACAGGAGTTCAATTGCCTTCATAACACTTGGGTTATGGAGATTTGAGGATATTAATATAAACCCAAAGATGTGTAGCTGAATTTTGAATGCAGAGTACATTTTGCTGAATGCCATTTATAAAAACATATAAATGTCATGCTATAAATATAGAAACAACAGAAAAGGTAAGATAAATAGGAATAAAATCTAGCCATTTTATAAACTATGTAAGATCAAAATGTTTTAAAATATGTAATATCATTTTAAATAAATTTTTAAAAAGACTTTAAGAGAGCATAGTCCATAAATTATCTTGTGTTAGGTGATGTAACCATATCCCAATATGTTTAATTCAGAGTATTATGTTTTTATGAAGTTTGACCTTTTTCCAGTCCCAAAGTAAACCATTAACTCCAAATCTGCATCTTTCTATCCAGCTTTAAGAGCTATAGTTCGGTTGTAAATTTATGTTTGCTCAGCCAACGTTAGAAAATTGCTTATTCAGCTTTTGTCTTGTAAATCACATACGCTACAGAAAAAAAACATGGAAATCTTAATATCCATTTTTATCCATTCAACTTTTAAAAAATCAAGAATAGTTTTTTATGCCATTTCTAGAAGGCTTGCCAATTAAAATTATAGACCTTTGGAAATTTTTATTTCAGGAAGGCAAACATGTTTCTATTGAGTACTTTATACTCTTCAAGGCAAGTAAAACACGTGGTAAGCACAAAGATAAGCATTTTAGGTACTGTGAAAATCAACTACAGACCCTCTCACAGAATAAGATTTCTTGAATTCTTACTTACCTTTTACTAAAGGGGAAAATCATTTTTAAAGAATAAACTGAAAAACTTTGGCTGTCCAGTATGTTCTAAATTCTATCTTTTACCTTTAGTTTTTATATACGTACAATCAGTCAATAGTGATTTCTTTAAAAGGTTGTTGAGTCCATTTGAAAGGCCCAGGGCAGGGGGATTGAGTCTGCCTGTGCACAGGGCTAAGTAAGGGTGAAGTTCACTCTCTTCGGGCCTTTGGAAGGCTGAGGCTCCATTCCCAAGTCTTGCCCCGTGAGACAACATGAGCCAATTCGCTATTTTCCACATGTAAGCTTCTCTACAGGGCTCAAGGCAGGACTGAGTATTAAATTTGAGAGGCTATGCCACAGATAATTGAGAATTAATTTTAATACCACTTTGGATAGAAAGCATTAATGAAAATGAATGAAATGAATGGATATTTACTCAATCAAATTTCACGGAATGAGGCATTAATCTTGGGAAGTTTGAATGCCATCTAAGTATTTTCTAAATTTAAAAAAAGGCACTTTCCCGTTGTGCCAATTTAACAATTGGCAATAAACTTTACCACTGTGGCTGTGAAGGAATAGCTCGTATCTCAGACAATACATAGGCTCTGTGTTGAAATACATGTTTTAAAATACTGCATCATTTTATATTATGGCAAATATAAAATGCAGTTGGCTATGCCATGTTGCCACACTGATTGCTATTTTGTGGTTACTCATGAATTTATCCATTTTTCATACAAATTCCAAAAACAACCATGTCTCCAAAGACGCATGTAATTACCCTGCAATTACATGAAGATGACATCCCTGCATGCTTCTGTTTCATATAAACTTGAGCATTAGGCAGGATGTCAGCGGATATGTGGTTTGTGACCTTGGGTAATCACTGTTAATAATGCTGCTATCAACCTTTGAATCAGAATGAAACGTGGGGCTCAGCAGTTGCTGCTAAACGTATCGCGAAGTTATGATGTATTATTTGGAATTCCCCTTGAATCCCAACATCAGCTAATCAGAGATACCTTACATAGAAAATATTTTTCAAAAGGCATTTTAAGTACCTTTAAATCAATTGCAGCACAACTTTTTAATCAAGCTCCCAAAGTAGTTCATGTTGTTTTGTAATCTAACAGTCCTACATATTCTTCCTAGTTGCATAGAAGAAAATACGATCTTCCGAGGTCATTTCCATTATCCCAGTGTCTGCCATTGATTACAGTTTCATAAGTGACATTTTTTAAAACCAAATTGTTTGTTTTATAAGCTTAAAGGAAGGCCACGCCCTACTCTCTGATTTATTTTTAGGACTGTTTGAGCAATACTACACATACAACCTTATCCTATGACAACCACTGGAATGTACTATGGTTTAATTTTTTTTTAATTTTGCTTATAATTTGGCATCGAAGACCTTATACTAATTAATTGCCACAGGCCCATTGACCAAAGTCACATGAGAACCCAGATGTAAATGCATTCCCTAGCTTACAGAATGTTAGTGATTCATTTCCCACTCACACACTTTAAATAGTAAAATACATATTACAGTTTTTTCCTGTAGATACAACCTTGTGGTATACACAGACAAACACTGAAAACTGTAACAAAATTACTATTTTAAAATATTCTTGAAACAGCTCTCTCTCTCACACACATAGTAAAACAGAAAAAAACGTCAATTTAAAATAAAACCCTAGTTATTAAGTACAAACAGCGCCGGGAAAGAGAGAAGCATTTTCAAGTTTATTGAGTTTTATTTTGACCTTCGTACATCACTATTACTCATATCAATGTTTGTTTTCTAAAACTGCTGAGCTCAAAACCTGACTTAATTAACATGAAAGAAATCATAATTCGAAGACACTCCACATTCTTTAAAGAAAGTAATTAGTCTGAATGGCACAAAGCCGGAGTTGAATGCCTGGACCCTCTATCGTGCGACACCCTGAATCCCTGTGCCATCCTAAGACGCTAACCTTGATTACGTCAAGCTAAGTTCTCAGCTTTTCTGTTGGTTGGTTTGTTGCTATGATTTTTGTTCTGTTTTTTGCAAGGGAACCTCTTACTGGGTCCATTTTAAAATAGAGAAAACTGAGAGACAGGGAAGCATCATCACATGCCCGAGGTTACAAAGAGGGTAACGAGGAAAGGAAGATTGGCCCCCAAATCCCCAAAACTACAAACTACCTGCTTTATTTTTCAAGCTGATGGAAATCTAGAATTCCCACTTCTGGTTCAAGTTTTAAGCAAAATAGAGCTTCGGGAGTAAAAATATCCTGTATAACAATAACAAAATTCGAGAAAACATTCTATTTTCTTCTCATTACCCGCATTTGTATTCTTCTCCCAGCAGACATTATCATGAAAATTACGCTCCTCCAATTATTCCTATGTGGAAATCTGTTTGTGATTGCAAAATGTATCTTTTTTTTCGTGATGGTTAATCTAGGCAGGGGAAAAACCATCCTCACATGTCTATCCAACACAGCTTCTCAAGGCTCATCACAAGGCAATAGGTACATAAATCAGTTCAGGCGCTGTCCCAAATCATAAACCAAAATCACCTTAGAAGGAGCCAAGTGCATCCACACTGCACTTTTCAAATGTTCAGCAGTTCTCAAATATTGAGTGTAATGGCTAAGGCCATTTGAATAATTTAAAACAGATTTTACCCTGATGGCATATTGATTTATCCTTCATATACAAACTTCTCACGGTATTCATTAAACCATCTAAAAATGCCCTAACAAATGGAATCTACATTGTGATCTATTATCAGTGAAAAGGATGATGTCTTCTATTTCCTTGGAAGTTTTCAGCTGATTTCCTCCCAGATCATAAAAATGATTATCACGGAAGGCTGAGCAAATAAACAAATGGTCCTGAAATCGCCATATTTGCGGGAGCATTTCATTAGTAGACATCTTTAAGTAAGCAATGCATTTAAGTGACTGACGCTCCTGTGTTGATAACCTGTCAGCTGTGCGGACGTGTCTCCAGCCTGTGTGTTGTCTTGTTTCTACAGAGTGTTATTGTAACCCTTTGGGCTCAATCCATGATCGTTGTAATGGCTCAGGATTTTGTGAGTGTAAGACTGGAACGACAGGGCCTAAGTGTGATGAGTGTCTGCCGGGAAATTCCTGGCACTACGGCTGTCAACGTAAGTAACTCTGGGAGCTGCCCTCTGCCTGCTGTAGCATGGCTGAGTCTGCTTGTCTAGGCCGGTGCGTGCAGCTTCTCAGAGCAGAAAAAGGCCCAAACCGCTGACAATCTTTTAAAGCTACTTAAGGCCCCAGCCTATGGAGAGGAGAGCAATCCATCAGCTGTCCAGCTGACTTCTTTGAAGCTCACCTCCATCCTCCCTGATAGCTGGAGCAACTTATATTGAAATATTGTATGGAGATCCATGTACCTGGCCAGACCATAAATTATGTGGCACAATAGGGACCCAGCTTGGAAATCCTCGCCGCAGAATGAAGGGTGATGTGTATGTGGTTAATATATTTCTTGAACTGAAAGCTACCCTGGAGCTCCAGAGTTCATAAATTAAATGATATCTCCATAACTTATTACCGCCCTTGCTATCATACCCATCACTGAATCTTAACCAAAAACCTAAAGGTCGTAAATCGAAGGGACATTTAAATGCCGGGCTGAAATAAATGACTAAAGTCAATATTGATGTTAAGCCTCTGAGGTTAGGCGCCATGCAGGGAGCCTTCGACAAATGCCATTTGGTTGACCCTCACTTCTCTGGAGATCATCAGGTCTCCTTCAAAGCCTGTCAAGGCGGGTGGCATGTCAGTGTGGACAGGGAGCATGAATTTTAAAAATCAGGGCAGAAGCTTCCTTCTGTCATTTATAATCTTTTCTGCCTTTCAATTCTGCACCAACTCACCCTTCCCTCCGTACACAGTCACCTTCCTAACGTTAGAGAATCTCAGGACGGATCTCAGGAGCAGCACAGCCCAGTAGGAAATAATACAAGCCACACGTGTCGTTTTTGACATTTTTTTACCCACATGAAGAATGTTAAAAGAAATACGAGAAATTAATTTTAGCAATCTATATAACCCAAAATATATAAAATGGTATCATTTTAACATGCGATTAATATCAAAATGATCGAGGATAGGCTTTCTTCTTTGTCACACTCTATTGAAGTCAGAGCGTCTTTACGCATACAGAACATCTCAATTAGGGCTGGCCATATTGCGAGGCTTAATGGCCACATGTGTCTACCATATTGAACAGCACAGCCCTAGAGTTATTTTTGCTTTCTTTTCCCTTGATGAAAAGTCAGCATGGAGAAACAGCTAAAGCCAGTTACTACGGAAAACTATATATTATTTCTACACCATAATAAGAAAAACATTTCTATATTCTGTGTAATAAATTCAGTAAGATAAATTTTGCAGCAACTGCCTAGATGCAATTTCTGCATAAAATTCTATGGAAAATTATAGAATGCTCTCTATCTGCTATTTGTGGAATATATACGGTCCTCTGGCAGCTATGCTTCTTGGTAATGTAAGGCCTGAGTGAAACGCCAGGGGAAGCAGTGAACTGTGGCAGTAAGTTGAAAATTTGGCATTCAGCAGGTCAAGTTTAGGATGGAATCCAGGAGCCGGGAGGTAAGGCCTCCAGTCCTGCAGGAGGAACGCACTGAGAGACAGTCACCCGGTCAGAACTTAGGCAACACGCCTGCACGTAAGCCCAGATAAGGCCAGGCTTAAAAGTCCTACATGCAACACTGTCCCAGAAAGCACAAGTGCTTCCGAGTCTGGATGAGTGGGTGGCTGTCTCTCCTGGAACAGCTGGACATCGAGGCCTAGGGAGGACATCAGTCAGGAGAAGAGAGGAAGCAATAGAGAGAGGGAGGCTCGAAACCAGCACCAAGACGGAGGCATAAAGAATAAGGAGACTTTGGGCGGCGCCTGTGGCTCAAAGGAGTAGGGCGCTGGCCCCATATACTAGAGGTGGCAGGTTCAAACCCAGCCCCAGCCAAAAACTGCAAAAAAATAAAAAATAAGGAGATTTTCTGGTAAAGACACACGTATCAAAAAGAAAGTCTCACGTCCAGTTCCTGATGTACCAGGACCCGATGACTGGGCTCCTGCAGGGTAATAATCAGGGCAAAACTCTGGAAAGGAAGATAAATTAATCCTACCTTGGGAAAATGTATTCCAAAAAGGGCCTAGCCCAAGTTTTCTGTATTACTAATTGGAGTATTATTAAATGATATAATGCTACCAAAAAACTTTTTGGAGACAGAGTCTCACTCTGTTGCCCTGGGTAGAGTGCTGTGGCATCATAATTCCCAGCAACCTCAAACTCTTGGGCTAAAGTGATCCTCTTGCCTCAACCTCCTGAGTCACTGGGACTACAGGCTGCCACCATGACACTCTGCTAATTTTTCTATTTACAGTAGAGACGGGTCTCATTTTTCTATGTTTAGTAGAGGATGGGTCTCATTTTTGCTCAGGCTAGTCTTGAATTCCTGAACTCAAGCAGTCCACCCAAACTCCCCCTCACAGAGTGCTAGGATTACAGACGTGAGCCACTGTGCTCCCAACCAGTGCTACCAGATTTTCTCTCTAGAATCAGAAGACTGGATTTAAGCCTCTTCTACCGCCTGAGGGACGTACTGGGTGATGTACAAGTCACAAAACCCTCCAAGGTGCCGCACTTCTGGGACCTCACACACACTGTGTGGACCACAGAGGTGGGAGAAAATGCATTTGTGCTGTCGAGTAGGTGCTGAGTATCTGCTGTGACAGAGGGATCGGGCTAATGGGAGGTGCTACAAGGATGAAAAGAGACAGCTGCTGGGGACTGCGGCTATGGAGGTCACCGTCTGGAGAGCGAGGCTGGAATGGAGGCCCACAGTTTCAATAGAAGGTAGTCACAGCTGCTCGAGAAGAACGTACCTGCTCTGTGTTAGTAAAACCCGGACAGTCAGCGAGGCTTCCCGGAGCAGTGAGGTGCAAGGGAAGGCCTGAACAGTTGGTAGGAGCTTTTCAGGATCGAACTCTTGCGTAAACGTGGTTGAACTAGCACGCTATGTTCTGGAAACATCAAATAGTTTTTATATGACAAAGAGATAAGCAGTGTGTGGGATGTGGGCGTGTGTGCGTGTGTGTGTTGGGAGGGTGAGAGGAAAGGAAGAATTGACAGCAACAACCATGGGACAGTTTAGATGGCTTCCTGGATTCTAAGCTAAGAGGTGTTACCTTTTAAGGGAGACAGGTGGGAATCAGCTTATGGAGAAGACGTGAGCTCCGTCATATGACTTTAAGCAGAGGATTGAAAGGATCAGATTTGTTTTTAGAAAGATTATTCTGGTTATTCAGAAAGGACTGGGATGGGGTGAGATTAGGTTTGCTAGCTATATACATTTGACATATTTCATGCACACCTTTGAGCAGAGTAGAGTTTTCCCCTTCACTCTGAAGTCTGCTTTCCTTCTCTCAGACCTGCCCACACAGGGCTAATGTTCCATGTGAAAATGCAGGAATTTTTCTGTCAGGTAGGTAATGGCTGCTTCACCAAGATCCTGGCGAGCCTTCCCCTGTCTCTTAGACTATGACCCAGCTCCAGCAGCCAGCAGGGCGACACCTGCCACAGTCTTCACCACCTGTGCCAGTGTTATAGTCATTCTAGTAAGTTAATATTCTTTCCATTTCACCCCTATGTTTCCGTATATGTGATCACACTTGAAAATGGCCCTCAAATAAATCTGTCTCTCTCCTGCCTCTTGCCTACAAATAAATCTCTGTCTCTCCCCTGCCTCTTCCCCACCCTCTACACAACTTCTGCTTGCCCTGAGTTGAGCTCATCCTTGGCTTGTCCACAGTCTGAGTGGTAAGGTATTAACCTGGCAACAAGAAGTCAGTGCCAAGCAGAAAAACCAGTGGCAGAGCAGGGCAGACAGCAGTACTGCGGGGACAAGCTGAGAATATGCAGGCATTTAGGGAAGCAGTGCTAGGGAGGCCGTAGCAGGGTAGGAGGAAGAGTCCAAGAGATCAAAGCCCAGGGCTCCCATCTCCCCCCACCCTGGAGGACTGGCAAAAGGGCCAATGTGGGACTGTGGCCCAAAAGGATGTGAGATTGGGAATAGAATATAAAGAAAGGGGATCCAGTTACAGACACTGTCATTCCCATCCTGTGAGTAGAACAAAGTGAGTATACTCTTTGAGTAGGCTCTGGAGTCTCAGTGCTGGGATGGAACCCGCCTGTACCTCATCTTGGGATTGAATCCCATCTGTACTTCATACTGCGAATCTCAGGAGAAATTACTTGGACTCTCTAAGCCTGGTGTTTCATCTAAAATGGAGGAAATAATAGGATCCAACACTTTCAGTAACTGTGAAGATTCAAAGAGAATAATGAATGCAGACCTCATGGTACGAGATAAGCCCTCCATTATTGTTACATGTTGACAGGCAAGAGTCCATGTACAAAACCGAACTGTCCATGTTAGCACATGACCTGCAGCAAGGTGGGCCATATTACAGCATCAGACTATTGACTCGGAGGTTTCTGAAAAGCCCCTTGATTAGAGGCAGAGCTTATTCAAGAGACCAGAGCAAAGTTGGCCCCAAAAGCAATTGTGTGTCTTTCAACACAACTTAAAAACTCCAGGCTCATCAGCAGACTTTCCACCTGAAGGCCGCTGATTATGTACTCCATAAACGGAAGCTCGTCTCTCTGATTTGAAAGGAGAAACACTTGTAAACCACCAGAAGGAAGGGCCTTTAGACAGCGTGGCACAAATAATCCAGGATGTAACACAGGAGGAGGCTTGGCAGAATTAAAATTAGTGGGGAGGTTGCCCAGTAGATGACTGAGACAGTGAAAAGAAAGAGAAGATTATTTAAAATATATATATATATATAAAATATATATTTTGAATATATTTTTGAAATCAGAAAAGAGCCCATAGCCAAAAACTTAACCTTTCCAAAGAGGAAGCCGCATTCCATGCTTCACATAAAGTATGGAGGGTCAACTTCCATATATATTGGGAAGTAACGGGACACTTGTTAGCTTGTTACTGCACCAAAAAGAATGGCTGTAGAGAAGATTTGTGATTCTTTTAGTTCAGAAGGATGGAAATAGCCACTTATAGGAGTAATGAGGCCAGGGAAGAAATGTGTT